CACCCGTGTGCTGGGCTGCACCCAGAGCAGTGTGGGCAGCAGGGCGAGGGGGGGATTGTACCCCTCTGCTCCACTCTGTGAGACCCCCCTGCAGGTCCAGCTCTGGGGGCACCAACATCAGAAGGACACAGACCTGCTCGAGCAGGGCCAGAAGAGGCCACGAAGATGTTCGGGGGGCTGGAGCACCCCTTGTGAGGACAGGCTGGGAGAGTTGGGGGTTCAGCTGGAGAAGAGAAGGGTCCGGGGAGACCTTAGAGCGGCCTCCCAGGGCTGAAAGGGGCTGCAGGAAAGGGGGGAGGGACTCGTCATCACAGGGTATAAAGATAAGACAAGGGGTACAGGTTTTAAACGCAAAGAGGGGAAATTCAGATTAGAAATAAGGAAGAAATTAATCCCTGTGAGGGTGGTGAGGCCCTGGCACAGGTTTCCCAGAGAAGCTGTGGCTGCCCCCTCCCTGGAAGGGTTCAAGGCCAGGCTGGACGGGGCTTTGGGCAGCCTGGGCTAGTGGAAGGTGGCCCTGCCCACGGTGGAGGGGTTGGAACTGTATGGTCTATAACGTCCCTTCCAACCCAAACCATCCTATGATTCTATGAATAACATCTTATAAAGAAAAAAGGAAGTGGTACATGCTAGGGAAGGGTTCAGACTGTGTTGTGACACCTTACGTACTAAAATCAGAAATCCCATTTCACTGATTTTTTTCCCGACATTGGTTCTTTTTACTTAGAAGGGCATGGAAAACAACTAAATCAAAGACATTCCTGAAAAAAAATGTATAGCATTTGTTAACACTTTTTTAAAAAGTGAACTTTGCTACTACTATACATAAAGTTTTGCTGAAAAAGACATGGTAAAAATTTCTCATAAAGATTTTAAAGGCTTTGTTTGAAACAAACAGCAGTCCTTCAACTTAGAAATTTTATCTGTGGCAGTCTCTGCAACAATACAATACCATCATGAGCTGCTGCAGCATTTATCAGAAAATGCAGTGAACCCAAAGATTTAATTTAAAATTAGCCACTGACCTTCCTTCCACATACACATGTACTGTCTCTAACACATTGTTTTTCTTTAGCTTAAATACATCTGATGGCTATAGATGAAAAGATGCATTTAATTTATTTTTGGAAATTAGATTACATTATCAGTAACTCCCAGAGTGACATGTATTCCCTGGATATCACACTTGCTGTTTGACAGCATTAACAAAGATGGACATTTGCGTAAAGGAAACTGTTTTTCATCACTTGCAAGCCACCACCATACTATACGGATAAAGAATTCATAGCACACTTGAATACTAGCCACAGAGATAGAGAAGCACAGTAGCACAGATAAACAGCAACACAATCTTCTACTTATACTGTGGAGGAAATAGCAAGAAGAGTAGTTCTTTTTGTCTTACGCTTTTAATGTAATCAGCTGAGATAAGGTATAGACAAATACATTTACTCAGGACAAATAAGCATTGTCCAAATTACAGTTTACTCGGCACAAAAGAACAAAATATGAATAATCCTAAACCAGGTTAAAGTGAATAACAATAGATTTCAGATGAAAGCCTGGTTCCACTCACAACCAAAGCATGCCATTAAACACAGCAGACTTTTCAAAAGCAATTCTAATTACAAACAAACACCAGCTCAGCCTCTTACTTAAACACGTTATATAACCCAATACTGCTAGTGCAACGTGGAGTTTTGAAACTGCAAAATACATCCTCATCTTTGTGGACCTCTGCCATGAAAGGATTTCTGAAAATCTGTAAGAAAACAATGTCCTTCTCTTTATAGCTGAAATAAATCAAACCAGGCACTTTGGCATGCTACCTTTTTTTATAAATTCTCAAAAGGGAGAGGGGCAGAGCTCACACTGCAGAGCAAGAAATTCATGTCAGCCTGATGAGCCACTGCTAAGGTGTGAGCCAACAGAGAGGAGGTGCTGGACAGATTTGCCACATTGCTACAGGGACACACTGAATTGGGTTGGCCATGTTTTAAGGTGTTCATTTCTAAGTCCAACACAGTAACAGTTAGTCTTTAATCCAGACTTATACAAAGCAATTGACTGTTACATACTTTCTTACATTAAAATTCACTGTGCTGCTTTCTGTGTCTTATAGACCGGGATCCGTGGACCATTTCTAGGAGGCCCACAAAAAGTAAGCAAAGCAAACCCATCACCAGGAAGCTTAAAGTTATTAGGAAGGTGCTCACATATCAACTGGAGGAAAAAAAAAAAAAAAAAAAAAAAAAAAAAAAAAAAAAAAAAAAAAAAAAAGGCTTCTGCAAAACAAGTATTCTGTATCTCCCCTGCACACCCCCATCAACTCATCTTTCCAGAGAGTTGTAGTAACGAAGTTGCCGGGTTAAGTTGCCACTGTCTCCAGCACCTCAGCGCAGAAAAACATGGAACATTTAGATACAGCCCTAATTAAGCTGAAAGTAATGTGATATTGGATCTAAAATTTTGGTTTGCCTCCTTCACACACAGTGTTATACAAATTGTACCAAAAAGCCTTCTTAAACTATTTCTTCAAAATGAAATAATTTGTTAGAATGAGCTACTACACGGGCCAGTTAACAAACCGAAATGTTAGCACTAACAATAGTAACATTGTTATCTGGGCAAATTACAACTGATTGGCATTCACCCCTGTAAAGAGCTCAGTGCTCAGAGACTGATAAACCATAAAGGCAGACAGATCCATTTCATTCCCAAAGCACCGAGGCAAAGCATGAGCCATTTGTAAAACAACATAACGAAAACACAACCTCAGCACAGTTTTGGTCTGGAGGCCTGTTGGCATCCCAAACTGGAAAGCAAAATGGTAAAGGAACAGATGCACAAAATAGCACAATTTTAGATCCAAGGATTCTGAACTTGGGACAGACATGTAATTTGCACCACTAAGGCAGAATTCTATTAAAATTGAAGGGGGTGTAATCATAAAAAAGGACACAGTTTTTACACATATTACATAGTTTTTGCTTCCAGCTAAACCAAGAAATAGTCCAGTATTCGTCCTTCATCACCAAAACCACAGTAGTGAAACTGGAACCAGTTCTAGGAAGATTCTGTAGATGTAGTTAAAGATCGGGATACCATAAGAAGTAGTTAACTCGGTGGGGTATCAAAATAAATAGATCTTGCTTACTGCATGAGTGAAAGCTCAACATTAACACTTCCCTAGCTAACTTTACATATAGCATGTGATTTGGATCACATTTCCAAGGTGAGCCTCATTTTGTGAATTCCTGCACATTGCTGCTCTCTGGACCAATTTATGTTTCTTGTCATTCTTCCAGCTGCTGTAGCTCTCTAGCTTCATGTCATCTGCAGATGTAATTAATATG